AGAATTCCCAAAAGCATTAGAGCCACGTCCTATCAACACTGACTCGTTGACTCAATCTCATCGACTGAGAGTTGTGCATCATAAGATGCCTGTATGAGGTCAAATTATGAAATCGTTAAATACCCAGAGATAAGCCTATCATAAAATTAACGTTTACATCTTGTGCGGACTTTTTACTCAGCTATCACGTGGATCAAACTCAGCTGTAACCGTAAAGTGCACGCATGAGACAGCACGACCTTAGGGCTCACATGCTCTGGTATGCCCGCGTCAAAGCAACATACTGTCCCGATCACTCGCAGGTCAACAACCTGCTACTCGTTTTTTGGTTGGCTGCACCGAAGCGTACAGGAGTGAATGCCCTTGTCAACAAAACTGTCAGTTAATGCGAGAAAACTCACGCCACATCTGGGGCTTGAAACTGCAACTTCTAAGCTACTGAGCAAACTATTAACCTAAAATGTCATTGTCTCCAAGTTTGGGCCAAAACTAATTATATCAGTTAGACGGCGCCAAAATTATACACTCCACCTTTATCTGTTGACTGGAGAAACCAAACGAGTGTAGTCTACTAAAAGGAGGTATAGAGGCGATTTGACTTTCTTTTATAACATTCAGTCAGATCATGATGAAGTCGAAGAAGCTGATGAAAACTTTAGGACGTGCCATTTCCAAGACAAAAGATATAGCTTTCTTTTGCGAGAGTGAATTAGCTTATAAACACTAAGATATCAGGTTAAGAAGAAATATTTGCAAGATCACAGTTCACTCCCAAAGACAGCACACAGTCGTCTTGTTAATGGACGATTGGAGCTACTAACGGGAAAGATTAACGTCTTTGCCTCGAATCTTCTGCTAGCAGGTGAGTCTAAGACAGATTTAACCATTAAAACACGAATTTTGTTATGAATTTTCTGCTACATGCCGCGAAGGAAGGCCATAATGTAATTCAGTTTTCTTGGAAAAGATCAAATATGAGGAAAGATAATAGTTAAAAAGCTGCGCAATTTTATTTCATCAGATGCTAAACTTAAAAGTTTTTAAGAAGAACACAAACGCTAGGTCATCTTGCCATGTTTGAGAGTTGTGTCCAACCAATTGCTCTAAGTGTTGTGATGTCATGTAACTGTCAATTCCAAAGATACTCTTATCTTATATCTTCCTGGAAAAACTAAGCAGGTTAGAGATTGTCATACTATTTTGGAGAATATTATGAACTAACTAAATTATCTGTTCATTTTGGAAATGATACATGAAGGCTACATGCATAGCTGTGAAATTCAACGGTTTGTAACTGGCCAGTTTTTCATTATATGAAGCCAATAAGGAAATATTTACTTTCTTGTTTAATATTTATAACTATCCTACAGCTCCCCCTGAAATAATGGTAATCATATCAAATACAGAACTTTTATTCAGAAAAGAGGTGCCGCTAGAGACATCCATAAACTCGTCTACCTGAGTTTGTGTCCCACCTCATACCGCGCTGTCGAACAGCACGAGAAACGGGTATCGTCGATAAATGGCATTAAATGACAGCGAAAACCGGCATCTGTTTTAATGCAACAGAATCACAACAAGTACGCGAGCTGAGCATTAAGATTTTTACACTAAGCGATCGTTACTTCTGAGGGTGCCGAGTCTACTATTGGTTAGATGCCCCTGTAAACGCCATATCAGGAATGTAACTTAACTCACAGAGTGAAGCGAGCAGAGTTGGAAGATTCATGAATGCCATTAACGCGCTACAGTGCTCATTCACCTATAATGGATCAATGACATCTGCAACCATGCTCTAGCCAGCAAAAGTCAATAATTGTATATCTGGTAGTAGCTGGATCACTCGCCATTATCTGCGTCGTATGCTGCTGCCAGATAACCCGGTGGTGTCGTACGCCAATTGCGGCCATCAGTTGTTATCCCGGAAATTCCCTGGTTATTACCGGTTTAAGCGCCAGTAATTAACTTCCGCCCTCTCAGTGCTTGACGTCACCGAGTGACCTTCTCCATTCCTCTGAATTATAAGACACTGGCACTGCCCAAGATTACCAGAATGTGAGTCAGCAGAAGGACCTATCAGACAGGTCGGGAAGAACCTCCATTGGTGATTGGTCTAAATCAGAAAGAGATTGACTTGACAGGGAAATTGAAGCCACCTAGTGGACAAATGTAGTCATTTAAAAACATAAAGTTGGGAAGAGTTATAAACGTCGACATCAAAGAAGGGCTTCTTGTAAGCGACCGGACAAAGAAGCGGCAAACAGTTATTCTGGGAGAATGATCAGAAGAAACGCGGACTATCTTCTTGTTTTCCTAGTGTTCAGAAGAATATAAACTAAACGTCCGGAATTAATGAAAAATTAATTTGGCACAATAGATCCCTAATTATAAGAAACCGAAATATGAACGATGGTTTTCAGCTGAAGTACCCTTGTTCCATAACCCTGAGCGGTGAACCAACCAATTCGATTTAGATAGTACTCCGTTGATTCCAGTGTGTATGGAGTTAGGCATAATAATGTACAGTTCTTTGATAGAAATTCCCTTATTCATTTCAGTATCGTCACGTATCACAGACACGGCCGCTCTCCCCAAGACCATTAAAACACTGATGATATGTAAGCATCAATGGAATTGGTTTCATCGAATTATGAAATTACTGAATTCTTGAGCGCAGATAACTTTGATAGAATAAAATTTTTGAATCAACCATCGATTCTGACAAATTGCTTGGGCAGAAGTCATTCATTACTTCCAAGAAAGGCCGGCCATCAGATTAACATCCAAAATGAATGAGCAATTTATGACCATTTTTGTCTCTGGAGCTAGTTTGCAGGTACACTGTTGAAAGAGTGAGTATTCTGCTGCTAAGAAAAAGGCCACACACTACCTGAGAGTGAAAATAGCCGAAACTGATGAACACAACAAACATCAGAAAATTTCTTTTGGGGAACTATGTGATGCAGTCTGTGTCTTGGGATAATCAATACGACTTCATAGTTTCTTATTCACTTTCCTCTTCCACAAATTAACAAATGACGCTACCGAATTCATGCGGTTTACTGAACCAACGCATCTGACAAACTACTGACAGCGCATAGACTCAAAGAAGTTCTGAGCTAGCTAACTTTTGCAAGTGAGTGTGCACTAGGGATTTTAAGTTTTGATAAGTTTCAAGAAATAATCTGCAATGTTTAAGCAGATAAAAAAAGTTATTTCCGGCAACTTTGAATCAGCGACCTATTATTAAAGAGAATGCAGAAGATGCTCTCGATTGTATGTCCGTTCTTCTTCAGATCAGTACATCAAAACTTCTATGATTGAACGTGTGATGTAGATGTCGCAAGAAAAGTTCCTCACCGAAACTCTCTTGGTACACCCACGGCCAGACAGCGGACGATATGATAGAACATAGAGAGGATAGGATATCGTCGTGCGACAGTAACTAAGTCATTGAGGCTTCTGTTCGATGGTCGTTTGGGCTGCTCACAGAGTCTGCTGAAGTTGCTGGATGTACGATTCAAAAAGAATAAAAATGAACAAATCTGAGTCAATTATTCGGGACAGCATCAGCTTTAAATCACGTGCTACCATACCAAGCGTGATTTCACATGGCGGTTTGTAATTTTTTGGAAGATATTATTAAAATCTACTCCTCTTCGACGAATCAATTAGCATAAACCAAAAGGCATTCATCGTTTTTAAATTGTATTTTCTCCTTCCTTGTACATCGCCGAAAACAGCCACAAAGCTAACTAAATCTTTCCTCCACGTGTCGCAATGTACCTGATCCTAAACTAAAATTTCACGCGATGAATAACCGCTGCTGACATGTACTAACACCTCTGAGCAATTCATCAGTCTGCGCATCACTTAGAAAGAAACCACAAAAGAAGTAATCATTTCAGTGATTGATATGGTCATAAGAATAATGCCTCATAATAAAACGAGTGCCAAAACAAGTATCTTTCTATCTAAGGTCTCGACCTGCTGAGACGGCGAAGAGTTGGCTAATGCGACTGGAAAAAAATAAATATTTTCCAATGTTCAAGAG